GGGGTTACATCGCATAGTCTTGGTCGAGCTTGACGAAATATGTAAATATGTTTTGTAAAATATTTTATGTTATATTTTATAAAATTTGTAAATATATCTTGTCAAGCTCTTGACCAACTAGCTCAGGAGGGGGGGGTGTCATGACCCCTATGACCCTCCCCCTAGATCCGCCATTGATGTTGCCAAGGAAATTAAAAGATATGTTTTGTCACCCAACATGGTCAACTAAGGCCTAGTTACCTCTAACTTGTCTTTAAGCTGAGCTGCAGGTGGAGATGTATAGTGAGCTGTTGATGAATAATCACTGAATTTTTAAAGACAATGAGAGGATGAGTGATTCTTCTTTTAATTCCAGATCAGCAATTGTCCAACTTGTTTGTACTGAAGGTGAAAATAAACTTGCAGTAAATTCCTTGACTGTCCCGAGACTTATTGTAAGTATAACTTATATCATCAAAGTTTTTTAATGACCAATGGTTTGTTTACCACCTTCTAGTATGAAAAGGTAAATAATTTTATGTGTATCTCTATTTCAGGCACTAACATTCTACTCAAGATATGCTTGTCTCACAAGAATCGAAGAGCCCGGCCGATCATTTGGTTCAACATTGCTAATAATTTTCTTCTCATTTGTGGTGTTCTATCTTGTACTTGGAATTTGTACGAAGAAATTCTTAATGGGTGCAACAGGAATTGAAGTGATACCTAATTTGGGATTCTGGATGGATCTTCCTAATCTTGTTAAAGTAAGTATATATTGGGATAAATTGATTTGTTTTAGATATTGGATATTATAAACATTGAATTTAATAAACTGAACAAACAGGTTTGTTTTAAAGTGGTTTAAACTGTATACATATAAAATTTACTATTATTCTTGTTTGTTTACATTTGTTATAAATTTTCGTTAACCCAATATCATAATTTTGAATGCTTGACCAAACTACACTATAATCTATATAGTTATCATCTTTCTCCTTATCCTACTCCCGTAAAGTCGGCGCGACAGGTTTTTGTCCTCTACATAACTCTATCATCCGTCATCTCATCACTCCCTTCAGGCAATCCATCCATCTCTTTCTAGGTCTACCTCTATCGGTCTATAATCTATATAGTGAGTTTATGAATTATAATTTTCAGGATGGGTGGGCGTTTATGATAAATGGGTTCAAGTTGCCAGCGCGCGGTGCGGGCCCTGTGACGTCACCCGACCCTAACAGCTACGACAGCATATAACATCAGAGGGAGGCCTTTGAAGGTCAACTTGTGCTCCTCGAATAGACAAAGTGCTTACCATGTGCTCACTCTGACTGTGGAATGGACTAAATCTCAAAAATCTTGCCGTTTACATTTTAAGTTATGTTTTTACAAGCTAGCGGTAGCGGAAAATCTAGCTTGTAATTTTTTTTTGGCTCATAACTAATGCAAAGTTATGGTAAGTGTTTATCTCATCTACTTTTGTTTTAAAAGCGTTTATCCAGTATTATTTGGAATCTGAATTTTAATAAAATTTACAAATATTTTACTGTTTTGGTAGTCTACAATTAATTATATTTTTATGCTATGTAATTTTCAAATTTCTAACGTCGTTAGAGTTATATTTCTAATTTATTATCTCTTTTAATTTCAAGTATGTTATTTACAAGTAAATTTGTGTAAATACATTGCTCCGTCACCATAAAGTAGCTTGTAAATAGCTGAGAGTAATCGAATATTAATTTATTTCACTGAAAATGCCTTTCTTCGCCTAAAGTTTTTATCGGTTAAACAGACAGTAGTAATAACGTTTATTTATGTTATAAGTAAATAAATATATAATGTTGAGTTGAGTGCATGGTACATAATAGATTTTCAACCAAATGCATAATAGCACATAGACTAGATTACCTCTTAGAATACATTAAAAAACATAATATTATCATAACATATAAGTTAACATAAAAATTCACTTATTTACATACATATATTAGGTTAATACCTAATATTTTTGAAGTAATGCTGTTTTTAAATAAAATAATTGAGACTCAAATGTCTTGATAAAAGGTGTTATTTTTTTTTGTATATAATACTTTCAAATCAAATGTTATCTTACACTTGACAGTTCACTTTTGTTGATACATACATTATTGCAAAAAAAAATTCTAATACGGAAAGTCATTTGAAAATAAGTCCCTCTTTTGTGAAAGGCCTAATTAGTCATGCTTTAATCCTTAGGAGCTCTTATTATTGTGCCAATTTATCGTAATTTGCATATAACTTGCACAGAATAACATGGAAGTTGAGTTTGATGACGTCATGAATTCGTAAATTACGTCACTTGACTTAAATGTTATCGGATGTGTTGATGGTAATAATAAATATTATTAGATATTTTTATAACTATTTATATGAATACATATCTTTTTGCTGATATTTCGACCGTCTGGACCAATTTACGTTATACTTTGTATCTCATGTCAAATGTCAAATGTCTCTATGTCAAATTTTCTTCCACATTTTGGTGTCTTATTTGATTCTTGTGCTTTAATTTTATCTTAAACACCTTATTTGAATACAAAATTCGTTTTGCAGAAATATCTCAATCTCAGTTTTGAATTTGGTGATTTTTTGAAAAATATTTCTTCTAGTGATTCTTAGAGATTGGGGTTATGAATGGCATATGTTTTTTAAATCTTGTATCTTCAAATAATAATTATTTAATATAATTTGCAAAGACAGCAATGGTGTTCGAAAGTCTTAAGTTGTTAAAGATATTGATATTTTTAAGATATAATAGGATTATTCCCAACCGTCACCCGCTCTGTCCCCACGCTAGAATAAAAAGTTTTATCGGTCTCACCATTTAGTCCCACTATAACCATTAAGATAAAAGCTGGAAACGTTATGAAATAAAATAAGTTTCAACAGTCCCCTCATTGCAAAAGGTGGGACGACTGAAACTTTTTATTCACATCTGTCTCTACGTAGGGACAGAGCGGGGTGACGGTTGGGAATAAGCCTAACAATAGATTAATTTTTATTCAAGATACTATTTTTTTTTTTAGAATAGTTTCAATAAATGTATTTTTCAATACATTAACATTTGCTTGATTTTGTTTAGTTTGAGGTTGTGAATTTTTTCAAGTCTAAAAAAAGATGTAAATTTTTTTATGTTTTTATTACCTCAAATAAGACGAACAAATTTCTATACTGATATTTATTGTCTAATATAAAATTCGCTCAAGTTTTTTTTATTTTTAATATATTAAAGTTGGTGTTATTTTGACAATGTTTAAATAAGAGAAGTGCACGAAAACATAAAATGCAATTTATAAGAACGGCTTTCTCCTAAAGGTTTTGTTGTAAAATAAATATCAATGAGGGATCCTACCCCTCATGTTTTTTTGCACGTGTTGTAATTATGTATAAGGAAATAGTTATAACTTTACCAAACATAATCGTGCATACTTACGTATATTTTGTATTCCCTATTTGTAAGACCACACATGTATATGTTTTTACTATGTTTGCTGAATAAATAAATAAAAAAAAAACAATTTTGCCAATGAGTTTATTTCTTGATGCATACTTAATTTACTTAATGATTTCTGGTATTTTTAATTATTACTAATCCAGTTCGAAACCCATCTGAAAGAAGTGTTATAAATATGTAAATTAAAAAGTAAATAATTATGTTAAAAACAATTATGAAACGAAAACGTTTAGAATAAACAAAAAATAATCACACGGTAAAATAAATAAAAGAAATAAATAATATTTATAATTTAAAAATGTACCTTAGGAGCATTTTCTGTGAGGCATTTAGTGAGTTTTGCAGCCCTCTCGCAACCTTCATCTCCGTCGCTGAATGTTTCTTCATTTACTGTGAGAAAAAAACATCAATTGGTAAAATTTTAAAGTAAGTCAATAAAAGGAAATTATTAATTAACTAGGTCTTGCTTGCGATTTCGCCCGCGTGTTTTTAAATATAGCCCATGTTACTGATAACGCAGTTTTTTAATGGTGAAAGAATTGAAATCAACCCAGTAGTTTTTGAGTTATTTTAATACGTACAAAATACAAATCTTTCATCTTTATAATATTAAGTATAGATGATACCTTTGCTGCATAATTCAAAAAGTTCCTTAGATTTCTCCAACTTGGCGGTGTCATCTGGATGCTTTTCTTGTGCGAGTTTGTATGCGTTCTCCTTTAAGAATATTCCTTTTTCGTCCATCTATAAAAGTGCACTCATTAACAAAAAGTTATTTCAAATCTGTACATTGTAAAGGAAGGAAGAAATAGCGTAAAAATAATGGAATGCTTTAATTTATGACACTTTAGGTATTGGTCTAGAACGACCGTACCGTAATAAACGCTTTTAGATTAGCAACTTAAATCTTGGCCCTTAAATGCATGACTTTTTCTTTTTAAATACCATAAATTAAAACGGGCAGTAAATCGAGCATAGATTATAGGAAAAATGAATAAAAAAGTGAGTTTTCTAAATAGTCTATTGTGTAAGGAATAAACATAATAATCGCTCAGCATTTAGTCCGCGTGGAATAAAAAAAAAAAGTAGCCTATGTGTTTTTCCAGACTATCCTCTACATCTATACCAAATTTCGTGAGCCCCTTAAGCCGTTTAGGTTACAAACTCTAACAAACATCCATCCATCTATTTAAACTTTCACATTTATAATATTAGTATGAAAAGTATGATAGAAATGTAATAATAGTCTGATGTTTAAATCAACATGCATTTAAGGGTTAAGTGGACGTCGTAGATGACAAGTAACTTACCCAAGTAGTTCTCCTATAAACGCAGGCTAAGAGGCAGCGTGCATTCTTGCTGTCGGGGAGTTCGTGTTTGTTGAGCATGGTCATCTCTTCAGCGGTTACGGGATGATCCTTGGTACATTCGACGCTTTGTTGCAAGAAGAATTCTTTCACTTCAGCTTCGGTACGGGCCTGGACACAATAAATGTGAATTTCGAAATAAAAATCCCACATTTTTAAATACTTTTTTTATTGAAGACCTGCGTTCAACTCCCTCTCATGTTATTGTAAACGTGTTGTTCATTATTCTTCTATCATAATTGTTACTTACTAAATTCATAGAATGAGGTAGTAGTATACATGGGTAGCGCGAATCAGTTTCCATTTGAGTTCATAGTGCACTACCACAGTATTCGATAGTTCACTATGGTTTTCTTTGGCTTTAGGGATTATTTCCAACCGTCACCACACTCTGTCCCCACGTGAGAATAAAAAGATTCACCCGTTCCACTTTTTAGTCCCACTATCACCAATAAGGAGACAGATGGAGCTGTTATGAAATAAAATAAGCTCCAACCGTCCACTCGTCGCAAAAGGTTTGACGAAAGAAACTATTCCCATGTTTGGACAGCGGGGTGACAGTTGGGTCTAATACGGCTTTAGTTAAAAGTCTCGGGTTTAGGGTAATATTCAAATGCAAAATATGTTAGTTATCGTAAAAGTTCTTACCAGAGCCCCACCAATAACACAGAGACACATAACCAGTTGCACAATAGACATGTTGATTGTTGTTTTACAAATCTGTACTCATCTGATTTTGGCAAGCTTTATATATGCATTTAGATATTATGACATCCTATCAAATAAAGTAACAATGCAATTACACCATTATTAATAAATGTTTGCCTATTATATTTTTTGTCTATTTGTCATTAGTATCTTTTGTGATTATAATCTGTGTAATAATATAAGATATGTTTAAATATCAATTTAGATGTTATCGGATGTAATTATCATTATAAATGATTCACAGCTTCCTAAAATACATAATGAGTTTAGAACAAAGTATATAAAGGTTTGAACATGACGTTCTCTTCCAATGTCTGTCTTTTGTCTGTAGTTAGGAGACCGGCAGGTACCAAATACAATTTGGATATTTTGCATCCATACATAACATTATCGATGGGACTGTACTGTTGTAAAACAATAATCAAGGGAGCTAGTAGTAAAAATAATAAAATAATGGTTATCAAAATGTGGCCCAATTTTATAATGGAATAACTTTCAAGTCGCATTTTAGTTTATTAAGGGTTTGTAGGAATATATTTCGAATTAATTTATATATGTATATTACAACTTGACCACTTTCTCGACGCCTTTGACTGTTGATTTATTACCTATAATAAATCTTTAATTGACAATTTAAGACCTTACTTTATTTTTAACTTTGTCACTAAAATTAGATACAAGATCAAGACGAAAAGCTATTGTTAAAGTCATGTAATTACTGACAATTTAAAACATCGCAAATGTACTGTTTTTCTTGTATTTTACAGACGTTAAAATTGCAGGTAATTTGTATTGTAGCTGATGCTTGACGTTAATTGCTATGTTAGAGAACTACGTAACCTATTGTTATATATTCAAACTAGATGCGATTTAATAATGCATTTAAAAGTGCCCAAGTTAATGTAATTTTAACATTGCCTTCTCTTTCTAATTTAAATTACTTAAAGACAGTTAGGACCTGCCCCACCAAATATTAAATTGTCTGATAACAATCGAACGTGTAAAATATGTGATGGAAATATTTTGTTCCCTTATCTGACAGTGACGTCATTTTTAAGCTATCTGAGCCTCTATCAGCCAGTGGTGGGACAGGCCATTAATAAAATAAATTAAATTTTTTTATCTAGATAAATATTTAATCTTTCGATACGTATTTAATCGTTTAACATAAAATCATTATCTCAAAATAAATAATACATGCTTAGAAGATATAATATCTACATATTAAGGGAAAAAGAAGATATCCGGGTTTTCTTTGTAAATACATTTCGTCACGTAGAAGGAAGCCTCGCAGACGTCTTTGTATGAATCAGCTGGAAAACAAAACTTTATTTAGAACTATCTGGAGAATTAAATCCTCGTCCGATGGTGCTAAGTGTAGGATAAAGTCAGGTAGATTGAATAATAAAACTTAACGTGAGTTCTCTCTGTCGGAAAAACAGTAAAAGTGTTATTATTCTGAAGAGAATGAGAGGGGTTTTATTATGTTCCATTTCAGCGGTAGAAAATAGAAAGAGATAGTTACATAGTCTGTAAGTCTGTAATTATTAGCGCTAAAGTAAAAATTGTCTAATGGGAACATGTTGGTAGTTGTTACAATAAAAAAATATTTGACCTCAATTTCGTCCTAAATGCCATTACATACCGACTTTTCTGCAAGCAGTTATCGCAGCCTTTGTAGGTTCTTTAATCTCATCTGGCAGAAGCATATCAGCTTGTTTGATTGCAGCTTCGTAATTCAGTTTTCCATTTTTCATCTGTAAATTTGGTTTAAAGATATAAGGTGATGTTAAAGCTTCTATGTAATATTTAAGTTATGAGTTACTAGCTTTCGTCCACGACTCCGTCCAGTGTAATTAAAAAAAAGCCTATTTGTTCTTCCAGACTATCCTCTACATCTATGCCAAACTTCATCGACATCCGTTCAGCAGTTTAGGCTACAAACTTTAACAAACATTTGTCCATCCATCTAAACTTTCGCATTTATAATATTAGTATGAGTATGATGTACATTTTTGGTTTGTGCATACCGTATTAGCCATTTTCATGATACATGCTACATAGCACATAACGTCTTTTTCTTCGATAAAAACTCCATCATTTAGTGGATCTATTTTTTCTAAAAAAAACAATTTTAATTTTTAAGCATTGTCACAATTTGCAAAAAAATCAAAACTACAAAATTAAACTAGTTAAAGTTACCATCCTCGACGTTATTTTTCGGTTGACAGGATTTCCTCATCATTTTACCCGTTGATTTTATCTGTTTCATTGTCATCTGGAAATGTTTAAATTAAATTTATAACATCACGTAAATATAGTTTTCCTCAATGTTTAAAAAAAAAACAACTAATGTATAAAATCTTGAATCTTTCTAGATGTCTAAAATGTAACATGCTATCAGATATTAAGCACGTTATAAAGCAAGTTTGTTTAAAAAAAATATTTGCTGTCTCTGTTTTAAAACGCAGAACAAAAATTAACCTAACTGGCAATACATAAAAATGTTTTGTTATTAAAACAAATTAAACTCACAGCTTCACAAATCGTTACAGTAACTAAAAATTTTACAAGCACAGTCAAAATGGACATGGCATCTAGTAATCTGAAGAAATAAAATTGATAATTCTTCCTTTATAAAGAGCTTAGTAATTAATAACTGAGTAACGCTTTACACCTTTGGAGCTAATGGTAACCATGACAACAGAACATGGTAGAGACATTTTAAATACAATTATATTACCAACTAGCCGTTTCTCGCGACTTAGTCTGTGGAATTAGTAAAAAATAAAAAATACAGCCTATGTTACTCACTGATAACGTAGCTTATTAATGTCGAAAGGATTTTTGAAGTCGGCCCAATAGTCTTGAGTTATTTAAATTTTTTTACTCTTTAACATTAGTATAAAAACCTGTAGTATCAGCATCAAATCAGAAATTGAGTTTCTTGCTTGTATTGTTTAGTGTAAAGAAATTGTATACCGACATCACTTTTAAAAAATATTGTTATGTTTAGTAGTTAAAATTAGATTTATTCATCTGCCGTAAATAGGATGTGACGAATTTTGTATATTAAAGTTTATTGTTTCACATTCATACTAATAACATTTTGAGTATCAGTAATGTTAATAAATATATTTTTGTATCTTGTGTGTGAAACAAATAAATTTTTAAACATTATATAATACATATTATTGTATTCAATAAAAATTATGGTCACCCTACAAATTATACGAAGTCATTGGCTCATGATTCTTAATAGATAGGTTATAGAGATAATGAACAACTTTCAGACATGTAGATTAGTTAAATGATTGGCAGATCTTAGATGAAGAACGAAAAAAAAACGCAGTGTTTTTTTACAGGCGGACTCGTAAAACTTTAATAAACGCAGTAAATCACAAATAGAAAATATAGTTTGTCCCACTTATAGACACGCTATAATATCGTAACATGTTCAAATGGTAATTTGCAGATTTTACAATTTCCTGATAATATTATATATTCTGATAATCATTCGATGTGTACCCTAGTTGTATGATTGTAGAATTAAAAAAGTATGTCTGCACCGCGCCAAATGGTCCAATTCTGCCTACCCCTCTGGGTTTTACGCGTGAGTTATGTTGTTGTTTAATATATCAATGTATGTATTAGGTTAATAATAAGGACTCAATCTTACAAGACAAGTAATCATAGGGCGTTCTTACTTCTTAACATGGGATTAATTTGTCATGTACGTGCACATTGTCTTGTCAGTTAGAATATTATTAATCAATCATTATTGAGAGGATAATTTTAAGAAAAATATATAAAATGAACTACGTTTAAAAGATATGTCTTTTATGGAATAGAAATTAAGCTTGCGGTGATATTTTGATCTGTAATTATGAATGTAGAGTGCATCTGTTTTATTATATTGTGTTCATGGATTACTTTCTGTGACTCGGTGAGTTTATTAATCGAACTTTAAAAATGCTAAAGAATTTATTTTTATTTGTCAAGCCTTTCTTCTTGGTCATTTGATTGTCGTTAATACATTTTTGTTAAAAAATATGTTTTTTCAATGTATCAAAATTTAAGGTTGATTTTTGACGAATTGTAGAAGTTTGTTTATGTTTAGATGACGAGACAACAGCTTAAGAATTCTGGCAAAATCATGAAAAAATCGTGCATGCCAAAGAATGACGTCACTGAAGGTATTACTTTTTTGGGCATCATTGGTAGATTTTCTGTTTATTTGAAATAGAAGAAATATACATAACTATGATGTGTGTTACAAGCGCTTTGCGAAATATATGATCGGTTAAATTTATACTAATGTTATAAAATAACTCAAAAATTACTGGACCGAGTTCAAAAATTAAAAAGCTAATTGATATGTGAGAAACATCGGCTATGTTTTTTTTTGTTATTTCTTAATTTCACGTCGCGAGCAACAGCTAGTAAGAAGTAATGTTAACTTTCAGAACAAGTCGGTGAAATAGAAAATGGAAAGTTTATTGAAGATCGTAATGTGATGTGCTACGTTGCCTGTGTTTACTCTATGTCACAAGTCGTAAGATTGTTTTAATGTTCTAAACTTCTAAAATAACTTATGTTTATTGTATCGTTTAATGTTTCTACAACAAGCGTTTATTTATTTATTTATTTATTTAAGTACAACCACAACATATATAATTTACACTTACAATGAGTTAGTTGACAATATCGTTTCTTATATATATGTAAATACTGGCGTACATAACATTTGCTAGTACTAATTTAATTAACAGTTATAGGTTTACATTTCGTTTAATTTGAACTTAAAAGTAGTACAAATTTATTTAATTAAGTAAATTAATTAAAGCTATTTAAAAATGTATTAAGTAAATTTAGGAATTAAGCTTATCATAAACAATTTTGACATTTTTCTTGAAAGAGTTAAAGTTCATACCAAATAGATCTAGCGTTGCGTGAAAAATACGAGGAAATTGTAGTGACATTGAATGGGTTATTAACAAGGTGACAAATAATCCAGCAATTATTACGTACATAATCCAGTATAACCTAATATTACAGATAAATATAAGTTATTGTTAGTAGGTATACTACTTTTTGACAGCTTTTTTTTAACTCTCGTAGGTCAAAAACAATAAACTGAATTACGATGCGGTTATTAAGCAAGTAGACGTAATGTTTCCGGCGGAAATGAGGGACGCCGTGAAGGCTGCTGCGGCTAATTGCAAAGATGTTGGTGAGTTGACAATGGCCTTTAGTTTCACACGAGGGTAGTACAGTAGTACAGTCCAGTAATGGTTCTTTAATGCATTTTTTGTTGCCTGGAGCAATTTATCGTACAGTGTCAAAATACAGGTACTTTGAAAACCAATCCATAAAAAATGTCACTGCTTTTATTGATGAAAAATAAAACAGAAAGAAGTATATGCTTTGTACAAGTGTTTCGGCAGTTCAATGTTACTGTCTACTAAAAGTGTCTTAGTGATTTTTTTTTTTAGGTAAGAAATACAAAGACATCTGTGAAGCCTCATACTGGACAGCCAAATGTATGTACGACTTTGATCCGAAGAATTTTGTTTTCCCTTAACAAAACTGTACGTGGTACAATGAAATAAATATTTACTAACAATATCACTTTGTTTTTTTTATTTTAAGAATGTAAAGGCGAGTATCCACAGTAAACGTGTAAGTTTATTGATTGTCATCTATCTTTGTCTTAATGTAAACTGGTATTGTAAAGAGGAAAGATTTGTATTTTTATATGCATAGAAATAACTTAAAAACTTCTGCGCCGATTTTAAAATTCTTTCACCATTAAAAAACTACGTTTTCACTGAGTAACTTTTTTTTATTTCACGCGGACGAAGTCAAGAGTAACGAGTAGTAATAAATAAAAACATACCTTAAATTTAAAGACTGACAAAAGTAAAGTTAATTTGTCATTTAATACAGACCTAAACGTTTAACAAGCATGTTATTAACTAACTTTAACAACCAGTTTCGTTAAACTGTGGGCGGTTTTCTGATTTTTTTTGTTAAATTTCGACACTATTTAAATAACTTGACATCCCGCCATTTTATCTTTTACGCTACTCAAAATGTTATCTGTAATTTTATATTAAAACTTTAATAAAAATTGTTTTAAATAATGTTACGGTTTACTTTAAATGTATTTTTAATTTTCAACATACTCGTAGCTACAGTTATTGGGGTAAGTACCTATTTTTTTGGTATTTGTAAAATTAAGATCTGAACAATTTTAATACATTCTTTTAAAAGGGTAAAAATAGCATAACATTACTGAAAAATTAGTTAGTGAATCATATGCACTTTCTAACAATTTAAATACCAAGGGGATATTAAATTTGAATAGTAAATACTGTTCTTGATCAAATAAATTGAATTCAAAACAATCATTTATTACAAATTTTCAATAGATGACAAGAGAACAATTAAAGAAGACTTTAACCGTTATGACAAATCAATGTATGCCGAAACACAGCGTTACAAATGGTACGTTGAAAAAATAAAATACCCAGTTTTTTTATGGAAAAACAACATATTTACAATATAATGATTGTTTTCAGAGAAAGTCGGTAAAATAGAACAGGGCGTATTCATAGCAGAACATAACGTTATGTGTTACATAGCTTGTGTTTATAAATTAATTCAAGTGGTAAGTTATTCATCCTTTTTAATTTTTATTAAAGTATACTTTCTCAACATTATAGATTGGTACAAAGAAATGAGTTTTATCTTAAACAATACAAATCATGTCAGTTTTATTGCAATTGGCGAATATTTGAATAAATTCCAGGTAAAGAACGAAAGATTAAACAAAGCGTCGATTACTAAACAAATAGATATTTTGTATCCTCAAGATCTCAAAGAGTCTGTGAAACGGAACGTCGCTAGTTGCGTGGAAATTCGTAAGTTTTTAAGGCTGTTTTGTACTTAAGAAATTCTCGTTAGCTAAAACCTCTTGACCTTAAGTAAAAAAATATTTATAACTAGCTGTTGCTCGCGACTTATCAGCGTGAAAATAAAAATAATTAAAACGTAGCCTATGTTATGAGTAACATTGTCCACTGAAGTAAAACCGTAGCTTTTTAATGATGAAATAATTTTTGATTTTGAGTTAAATAAATACATACCAAAATACAAATTTTAACTCTTTATAATATTAGTATAGATTTCTTATGTTTTTAATTACTTTCAGAATACAAATATGAGGATCCCTGCGAGGGTATATTTTACTCTACAAAATGTCTCTACGAAGCTGATCCGCCGAATTTTATATTCCCGTAAATTTCATGCTATTAGAATAAAAGTACGATATTAATTAATAAGTCTTTTATTTGAACAAATACACATGTAATTAAGTATTGCTTAAAACCGAAAACATTAATATATTTCGTTACAAATCTTATCTTACTAATATTATAAATGCGAAAGTTTAGATGGATGGAAGTTTGTTAGAGTTTGCAGCCTAAACTTCTGAACGGAACTCGATAAAATTTTGCATCGATGTAGAACATAGTCTGCAAGAACGCATAGACTACTTACTTTTGTTTTTTCACACGAAGGGAGTCGCGGGTGATAGGTAATAAAACATAATTATTTGCAAAGAGTTCATTCAACATAGTCTGGGTCAGTTCACTCCTATACATCCTAAGTTCTACCACATATGCGATCCATAGCTTTCCTCATCCATCGACTTCCTGTCGTTATAGCTGTCATCGACTATCCTAATCTGTCATTATAAAGTTGTCTTTATTTATTTTAATGTCACGTAATTAATAGTCATTTTTGCGAATAGGCGTATTCGCAACCCACTGTACTATTATTTGTCGGTAAAAAATATAAAATGTTCAGAAGTAAGAAACTTTAGGATATCCATTTTGATTTTTTTTTTAATAAATTTAATTCTGTAATTAATGTATTTACTTTTAAAATAGTGTTTTAAGGATCAGCAAGTCTTGGTTTAAAATACGAATTATTAGGAGCCAATTTCCTTTTCACTTCGTCTATTTCTGGTTTCCTTTAAGTAGCCTTCTACACCATAATATGTACTTTTTTATTTACTAGAATATTTATAACTAGCTGTTGTTCGTGACTTGTTCTACGTGAAATTTCAAAACATAACCTATCAGCGATAACTTAGTTTTCTAATGATGAAAAAAATATTAATATTTAAAATCCAGTAGTTTTTTTTTATAAATTTAACCAGTGTTTACCGACCACTTTATCTATACCCCTGTGAAAAAAATTGTGCGAGTGTCATAACTTATAATTTATTTTGCGAAGCTACTTTATAAATCTCTACGCATTTTTCCCGCCATTCAATTTTTACCAACTTCTAAAACATAAACCCATCGCAAACAAGTGACAATGTTTTTTCGGATTATTTACTTTATTTTATTGACACTAACTTTGGTACTGGCTGTAAGTATTCTTTAAGTTCTGTTAATTATAAAAAAAACTCTTACTTTATTTTCTTTTAATAATTTCAATTGTAAGTTGCAATATATTTAATTTAATGATCACTGAACGAATTCATTATGATGGATTTCACAGTGGAAAACTTCCATTAAGATTTTGAACAACAAAACACCAATATGTGTTTGTGTAATTTACTTTTTGTTATGTGATGTACGGTACTGATGTTTGTTTGAAAAAAACAACCAGTTAATTAACAGAATTAATGGCAACTTCATCTAACAATTACTTTATAATTAAAAGTATAATGAAAAATACAAGTTTCCAAATGCAATACTACTTAAATCAGCGGTATTCAACAAAAGGTTATTAAATATATCTTGATTTTATTTTTTATATCCGAAGTCAAAATCAAGTGTCAAAATACATTTCCCTTTGTCTAGATGACCAGGCAACAGCTGAAAAACTCTGGGAAACTGATAAAAAAGACATGTATGCCTAAAAACGATGTCACAGAAGGTATGATGTACTTTATTATCAATCTTGTTTTTGACGAAAGGAAATAATCTTACTAATGTCATAAATGCGAAAGCTTAGATGGATGGATCGCTGTTTGATAGAGATTGTAGCCTAAACGGCTGAACGGATCTCTGTGAAATTTACCATAGATGTAGAGGATGGCTTGGAAGAACACATAGTCTACCTGTTTTTGTTTTTTCTTATTCCAAGCGGACCGAGTCGCAGGTTAGTTTACGTATAAACTGTGAAGTACATTTCTTCCCAGTTTTAACGGGTCCTTCTCCATCTATCTTGATGGCTTACAAACATTTGTCTATTTTACGTTCATGTTTATTGTAAATAGATTTCTGACGAATGTGTAATTGTTATTGATTTGTTTTAGATCAAGTAGGTGAAATAGATCAAGGTAAATTTATCGAAGATAGAAATGTAATGTGTTACATCGCGTGTGTATATTCGATGGGACAAGCGGTAAGTACAATTTTTATTTACTCGATTGATGGAATAATGGTTGACTTTAACTTTATACGTCTTTATTACGCCTGATTTTGCAAAATTAACCTTGGTACAATAGTATAAAAGTCAATTTCATTTGCGATAATAATCTGCTTTGGTCTACGCTCCGGTCTGTGTGAAAAGACCCTTAGTTGATGTTACCTGAAATTTATTTCGTCTAATATTTCTTTTAAACAATAAATCTAGTAATTTATTATATTTCTTTAATTGGCTGTCAATAAATTATACTTGTATGCTCTACCAATAAACATTTAACGATGCAAGAATTTATTGAGGATAAATCTGAAGTTATTTCCTATACATCTGTGGGTCAGGGTCCAGATATAATTGGTATCGTTACAATAAAGATTACATTACCATACATTAAAACCTACAGATGGAAAATTAAATTTTATGGGCGAAAAATTTATTACATTTCCAGATATTAAAGATGTGTCTAGATTTTTTTAAGTTAGCCTCTGCCCGCGACTCTTTCCGCATCAAATTTAAATAAAATAAAAGCAAGAAGCCTATTTGTTCTTCCTGACTATCCTCTACATTTAAGCCAAATTTCATTGAAATCAGTTCAGCTGTTTAGTCTACAAACTCCTAATATACTCGTACATTTAGCCTTCCACCTAAACATTCGCATTTATAATATTAATAAGAAGTTAAATGTTATGTTGCCGGATAATTCAATGTATTATAATAAACTACCTATACTTAAAAAACTTTATTACGCAGGTTAAGAACAATAAGATAGTTTTCGACGCCATGATAAAGCAAGTCGACATGATGTTCCCGCCTGAAATGAAAGAACCATACAAAGCAGCTATTGAAAAATGCAAGGGAGTTGGTAAGTTCCCATCCTTTTCTCTTAAGAAAAGGGTGGAAAGGAAAAGGGACTAAAATTAGGCCTCCGGCACCACACTCATCAGACGAAACGCGGAATTGCTGCCACTTCAGGCCTCTTTTCTGTGTGGTCGTGGTATTTCTGGTGATGTTAAAGCGGGCTTTACCACTGTTTAATATAGCCTTATGTGTTCTTCCAGAATATCCTCTACATGTATACCAATTTTCATAGAAATCCGTTTAGCCGTTTAGACTACAAACTCTTAACAAACACCCATCCATCCATCTAAACATTCGCATTTATAATATTATTATGATATTTTATTTTAACTTAGTTATATGCAATTTCAGCAAAGAACTATAAAGACATCTGCGACGCATCTTATTGGACTGCAAAGTGCATATATGAAGCCGATCCTGCTAATTTTTTCTTCCCATAATAATTACATCAGTGACTATCAACAATTAAAAATAAATCTTTTAACTTAAAGTAAAATGTTTGCTTATTCGAAAATCTTTAAAAAATATTTTTTACAATTTGGTGGGATAGGCCCTTAGAGTCTTATTACTGACATGTAAAACTGGTTCTCCAAATTAGCCATGTTTATTGTTGGACCATAGTGCAGATCACCAGCTCCATATAGTTCCCCTTCGAGGGGCTCGGAACCTACCCTAAGTTAGGGTGACTAGGTCTTAGTCAACCACGCTGGTCCAGTATGGGTTTACTTCAGACATATCTGAATCATCACGATGTTTTCCTTGACTTTAATACTAAAGTGCACACTTGAAAGAAATTGGTAAAGTGGTCATTGAGGTCTAATTAACACACTCGTAACTACATATTTAAACTAGTAATTGGTTAATATTGTTTGTTTTAACTAGCACTGTGATGCTATTACCTTACAGTACTAAGTCATCATACTAATCAAACAGCCTTTAAATTGCCCAGATATGTCAACAAGAGATCAGTCTTCGTTATTCTGTAATGAAAGGATTTCTCGTCATGTGTTATCGATTATGTTTATTAATTCTCATATCGATTTTTACGTATCGAGTACAAGCAGTAAGTAATGATATTTTAAGTAAAAAATTGGATGAGATATTTAAAATCTCATATGATGGAAAAATCAGTGACCAAAATAAAATTATTAACTTTTTTTTGTAACGTTATTTTTTAATACACAACCGAAGCAGAAGCGTATGATGTAAATGTTTTATCTCATAACTTTATTCTCTTTTAGATGACTCGACAACAGTTAAAGAATTCATCTAAATTGTTGAAGAAAACATGCATGGCGAAGAATGACGTCACAGAAGGTAATCTCAATAAATGTTTTCGCTAATGTAGTATATTTTAAATTAATATTTTTCAGATTTAATCGGTAACATAGAGAAAGGAAAGTTTATCGAAGAAAGGAACGTTATGTGTTACATCGCATGTATTTATCAAATGACGCAAGTTGTAAGTCAATTTGTTTAATTTTTTACTTACTGTCTTAAGTATTTCTGCGTGTGATACTATTTTTTGTTTTATTAATAAGTAATTAATTTATTGGAAAATAAACATGATTAATACGTTTACAAGGGTTCGGAGTTGGATTAAGCAAAACGGCTTTAAGAATTTCTAATGAAGTGTTCGTATGATCCCGTGGGTAAAAAGATCCAATAGTGGCGTTCGTGTGATGGGTCGAATGGCTCAACAGGGCATAATATCCCATTGCAACAAGATATGCTATACGGAAAACAAGTTAAAATCGCTCTTCTATTTTTCATTCTTATTTTCACAGGTAAAAAATAATAAACTAAGCTACGAGGCTTCGATGAAGCAAGTGGATATAATGTACCCGCCGGAAATGAAGGCCTCAGTTAAGGTTTCCATTGAAAACTGTAAAGATATGTGTATGTATACATTTATGGTTATTTTTAATTAACTTTTAACCTCGATCCAGGATGCCTTTAACCAAGATTTTTTGCGAACAAGTGAAAAACAATTTGAAAGATTTAAATACTTTGTAATTTTACACCAAAAAAGCGTACCATTTATTAAATAAAATTTCAAAAATACAACTTTTGTAATTATAAACAAAGAATATGCATTTCAATTTTATTAACATAGGCGTAATAAAAACATTGTTAATACTTATTGCATGAGAACACATATGTTTTCCATTTTATGAAGTTTTTTTTGCTAGGACAGTAATAAACTTATTTTTTTTTACAGCAAAGAAATACGCAGATTTATGTGAAGCATCTTATTGGACTGCTAAATGCCTGTACGAGGATAATCCAAAAGATTTTATTTTTGCATAACTTTATAAATAAAATTGTCATAGTTACCTACCTATTTTATTATTTACTTATATGTAAGACTTACGCATTAATTTATACTTGACTACCCCGACTCTCTCCACGCAGGATTAAAAAAAAAACGACTTAGTTATCTAGTAGCCTATTTGATCTTCCAGACTATATTCTACACATATACCAAATTAGCTGTTCCCGACCGGCTCCATCCGCATTACATTTACATTTGTCAAATTATCAATAGCAAATGTCAAAATGACATGACATGACAAACCTTAACAATCTTGTTCCTTGATGTTGGCAGCAACTTATGGTCTCTTTCCCACATTAGGGTTTTTATCCAAAATATTTACCCCCTAAGTTTAATGGCGTGAAAATATGTAGCCTAAAGAATGAAGTATTGTAGGCCTTTTTTATTTAAAAAAGGATTATTTTAAAATATGTTTTAATTGCTGACATCTTAGGCAACAAAGAAGTGTGTGTTTACGCTTTATTATAATAGTATAGCTTTAATACAATTTCCATGTAGCAGTTTTCGAGTTACGTGCTAATAAACATGCCCTGGGTTTGAGTTTGGATAAATCGCATTTTTAATCTAAAAACTAAGATGACAATATACAGGAATTTAACCAAACACTTATTACAGCGTAAAGAATTATTCACATGAAAAACATGAAATATTTTTTTTTATAACATAAGATGGCAAACGAGCAAGCGGCCACCTAAACCACCGAAATGGAAAGCGACCGCTGCTCATAAACATCCGCAATTGCAGAAGGACATTTCCCCTTCCTATGCGTCTTCTCCACCGTCAAATGCACTTTTCCTTCCCATCCTTTGCTCTTAAGAAAAGGGTGGAACGGGAAAGGGACTAAAATTAGGTCTCCGGCACCACACTCATCAGACGAAACGCGGAATTGCTTCTACTTCACGCCTGTTTTCTGTGTGGTCGTGGTATTACACCGGGTGAGCCGGACCATTCGTGCGAAGATGTTGAAGCGGGCTCTACCACTGTTAAAAAACTGCAGAGTCGCTTTTCCTACAAAAATGTGCTAGATGTTATGTAAACCTACCCATTATAGTTAGTGTTTATGAAGCCTTGGAAATTACACGGCGCTGCATAATTTTATTTAAATATACTTATTCACTAATAATGACATACACGCAGTGTAAATTTTCCAATAATTTAGTGAATTACCTAATGGTTGAAAATCGTCGACTTCTAATGTGTTAACCTTGACTGTTGCACCGCTGGACCAATTAACGTCATTGGACGAGCGAAAAAATTATACGGAAAATTATACATAAACGACTTTTAGAGCTGTTTAATGATCACCCTTTTCATATTAAATTTGTGCACTGCATGTGTTAATAACTTAGTTTTATTGTGAATACGAGCTGTCGCTCGTAAACTTCGTTAGCGCAAATTTGCACCATTCGTTACGCCATTTTGACGGCGCAGAATTAAAAAAGTAGCCTATAATATGCTTATCCATGTCAGCTACCCTCCAGTGAAAGTCGCGTCAAAATCGGCCCAGCCGTTTCGGAGATTACCCGGAACAAACGCCGTTCGCGGACAGACAGACAATTTTTTTAAAAATGCTATTTTCGTTATCAGCAACGCAAGTACATCATATTCCCGAAATCTAGTCTTTTTCTTTTGATATAACAGACACTCGAATTTTATTACATGTATAGAATAATATTTAAAACTCAGGTATTTTGTAAATAACATTATCTTCAAGTTCGGATATAGAATTCGGACCTCGAATTAGTTACTTTACAAGGCGAACGAAGTTTTATTTTCCATCTTGTCCGTTTTTGTCTTCCTTTTTATTCATGGAGTCATCTTGCAAGCAACAAACGCCGAGTCATGTTTCCGTCCAATACGATGTAATCAAAGTTGATAATTATACAAAACCGACTCTTCTGTCGGTCAACAATTATATCAAGGCTTCGACGTAGATATGTTTTTACTATACTCATATATCACGTTACTTGTATAGTTAATAATTATTAAATCAAAATTTTATAAATAAGAGTCTAAGAGCCTGTCCCACCAAATTGTAAATTGTCAGATAACAATCCAACGTGTAAAATATGTCATGGAAATATCGGATCTTGTTACCTTACCTGACAGTGACGTCATTTTTAAACTATCTAAGCCTCTATCAGCCAACGGTGGGACAGGTCCTTAAGCACTTTAAAAAGTTATATGATCCGTCGCTCTTTTGCGCCTTTTTTTAATTAAATAAATTATGGTGCTTTTTACATTTTTAAATGTTTAATTGTCACTAGATACTGGCTTTATTTGATAATTAAAAAAACTCACAGAAGTATATTGTATTAAGATAGACATATTTTAAACTTTTTCAATCAGGCTAATTTATGTGAACCGTCTTACAACTTTTCCATTTTTAATAATTCACATCTCTTTAAAAAAGGGCTAAATTATGTAGGAAATTGAACAAACTCTACAATCTACGACTAATATTATAAACACGCTATCTTGTTTGACGATTCTTACTCATAAAGAAAAGGTTTTCTTAAAAATGAAAATGTCTTTAGTTAGTACTGTTGAAGCTCGGTGCAATAAAATAAGAACTTGTGATTGTCTCGTTAAAAATAATTCAGTGTCAAATCTCGGAATCGCTCGTTTTTTATGTTGGATACAACAATGTATGTGTCTGATGGACAATTAACCTTTGAATACAAAAAATGCTCAGCGGGCTTCGTATATAAAATGTGTGTTTTCCTAATACAGGACAGAGTTGTACCGAGCTAGGAACAAGTAACTTGCATTGCAATTTTATTAAAGGAAAATGTCGCCGTTGCATTCTGTGTTTCTTTTACTTGGACTTGCTGTAAGCTTGAGACATGTCCGGGTGAGTTTTGTATTTACTGTTCTTTTATTTTAAATAAAATTATGTTCAGTATTGTATCATAGTAAATAAAAATGTAAAGTTAATTGGTTAAAATATGCTAGAAGTGCGCAGAAGCTTTGCAGGTATGACGTCACGAGACAATAAATTAAACCATCATAAAACTGTAAAGCAAACAATTCTCTAATGGCCGGTTTCCCAGCTACTTTTAACCTTTCATTAGTGTTTTGGTTCGATAACTTCATAAAAAGCGTTTCCGAACTCAACTAAACACTTAAATAAATGGAAACTTCAGAAACGCAGTATAAAAGATTGGAATACTCCAATTTAACTATTTATAAATTTAAATGTTAACTGTTATACACGTAAATGTCATGTCAGAACTAAAAGCATCGTTGACTAAGAAGAAGCTATTATTAAAGAAATTATTTTAATTTCCAGGCTTTATCCCAAGAAGAGATTGCAGCTATCAAAACTGGCCTGCGACCATTGATCGCGGAGTGTGGCAAAGAGTTCGGCGTAGAAGAAGCAGATATCAAAAAAGCAAAGGAATCCGGCAAAATCGAATCGTTAGACCCCTGCTTGTTCGCTTGCATTGGAAAGAAAATGGGAATGGTGAGATTGACAAACATTTTAACAATATAATAAAGAAGTGTATTATTTTAATAACAATATATTGCAATTATTTTACAGGTTTTGCTATCTTTTTAATCATTTTATTGTTTTCATAATTCCAGTTTTATTTTTTTCATTTAAAACGTATACAGACAGGCCCATTAGCTCAGTTGGTTAGAGCGTCGTGCTAATAACGCGAAGGTCGCGGGTTCGATCCCCTCATGGGCCAATTTTTTTTCTATTTTGCACATGAAAAATATTTTAAAGTATACTTTTAGGTATAAATTCAAGTGTTTTTCTATTTTTTTTCTGTAGAAATAGTTAAAGTGAAGTTGTTACATTATCTGTACAATTTGTGTTTCAGATTAATGATAAAGGTGAATTTGACGTAGAGAAGTCTTCGGAAACGGTGAAGAAGTTTGTTACAGATAAAGATGAGCAGAAGAAGATTCTAGAAATCATTGAAAAATGTGCTTCAGGTACTATTGATACTTTTCAAACGAAATGTTGGAATTTGACAGTTACGTCTTATACCGGGTACAAGGTATCCCCCTATAAATAATCTGCCGCGCTTTAGTAAATCCTGAAATCCCTGCTTTGGCTCCCCTACTATTAAGAGAATGAGTCAAGTATTTTAATTTACATGAAGACTAGAATATTATGTGGCGAATATCGATCATAAAGGATTTGATTTTTTTAAATAAACGAGCGTTTGACTATGAAGCCTAATCTTACGCTTTAAAGTAGAAATTTAATTTTGACAATTTAACTGTGATTTATTAATCCAGCTTTATGTTCCAGTGAACGATGAAGCAGTCAGTGACGACAAAGGCTGTGACAGAGCTATACTTCTGCACAAATGTATGGCGCCATACAAAGATCAGGTAATCATAATTACATCAGACAATTAACCATCAATTCTCTTAGAGTTATGACTCTTAAATTTATGGCATAAACGGTGTTAAGATTCAAATGAAATGACTAAATAGAAATAATTTGATCAAATGATTGACAAAAGATTTATCGTTTCGGGAACTTTATTCCTAGTCATAAATAACATTAAACTATATTTATTTCTAATTTCAGTTCGATTTCTCTAAGTGAAGACGTTTAACAAGTGAACAGTCTGATGAAGTTACACTGGCAGTCGACTACAATGGTTTTTGTATTATTTATTTTGTTGCAATCATTGATTAATAAAAGCATTACAAAAATATTAATATTTTATTCAACCATGTTTCCTTTAATCAAACAGAGTATTTCGGAAATCTATATAAACGGTATCTTAAATATTAAAAAATAAATAACAGTGGTAGAGCCCGCTTTAACATCTTTGCACGAATGGGCCGGCTCGCCCAGTGTAATACTACGACCACACAGAAAACAGGCGTGAAGTGGAAGCAACTCCGCGTTTCGTCTGATGAGTGTGGTGCCGGAGGCCAATTTTAGTCCCTTTTCCTTTTCACCCTTTTCTTAAAAGGAAAGGATGGGAGGAAAAAGTGGATTGGATGGTGAAGGAGATGCATAGGAAGGGGAAATGTCCTCTTTATGTGCGTCTCCTCCTCCGTCAATTAGGGTAGGCAACGCATCTACAATAGCGGATGTTTATGGGCAGTGGTCGCTTTCCATTTCGGTGGATTCAGGTGGCCGCTTGCTCGTTTGCCACCTCGTATTATAAAAATAATAATAATAATAATTTGCAAATGTTAAAAATAACATACACAAAATAGAGCACAAAATTATGTTTACAATTATTATGTAATACTGAACCATGCAAATGGCATTTAAAATGCAATTTTCAATATATTTACTATTTATGGTTTTAATTAACAGCGCTTAATTACTACGATTACGTAAGATAACAAAATCTTGGCCTAAAGGCGCTTTTATATTTTACAAGTATTTTAGCAGTAAATTGTACGAGGAAGTTTTTTTATATGGCTGAACAAACTCTACTAACCTTATTTATCTTTTGCCATTAGATTAACGCTGGTTCAAATATAAGATCACATCAGGCGAAGTACCCTAAAATTATATAAATAAGAAATAAAAAAAATGTTTGTTTCAACACAATATAGTTAAACCGAAATACTATATAATATAGTGTATGCTTTTGTTAACCTTACTGTTTAAGTGTTTATTTTACTTTGCACATCATCATTCATTACCTGCTAAACATCTAATTTGTATCGAAAGGTTAGCAGTAAGAAAACTCTATTAGAGTTATGCTCGCCTGTACTACCAATGCTCAATATGTATCTTTTTTTGTGATTATTTTCCTTGTGTACAAAGTGTAAATAAATAAATAAATAAATACTATTAAATATTATATAACTTAAAATTATACATAACACTTTTAATGAATGATATTCCATTCTTATGATATATTTAAACTCTTATATGGAGATAAAATAAGGTCACGGAGCAGAGAATATTAAAAGATCTAATATATGATCATAATTTTTATTAGAATGCTTCACAACATAATACTGTACTTATCTAAATAATATCCAAAATGAGTCCCTCATCCATTCCTGTTTCGATATGTCAATCTTAGAGCAATGGCGTGCTATACGTCAAAGCCAAACTGAAAACAAACGGAAAAGTAATTGAATATATTGAAATAAAAAATTGTATGAGATGTATGCGGCGCCTTTTTTAAGCGTGGAAGTCACTTACAAAACTCTTACTTTGTAGAAGACGATTGAGATTAGATGGACTGAGATATGGTATTTGGTTTTGTTTTGTACTACAATTGAATGGACGTTATATCTATGTCTGTGATAATGGTGGTAGTGGTGGTGGTTTAACACTGGTAGTGCCCGCGTTAACATCTTAGCACTGCAGGGCCGGCACGCCCCCAGTAATACCACGACCACACAGAAGACAGGCGTGAAGTGGGAGCAATTCCGTGTTTCGTCTGATGATTGTGGTGCCGGAGGCCTAATTTAAGTCCCTTTCTCTTTACCATCCTTTTCTTATAAGGAGAGGATAGGAAGGGGAAATATCCTCTTTATGTGCGTCTCCTCCTCTGTCTGATACGGGTAGGCAACGCATCTGCAAATGCGGATGTCTATGGGCAGCGGTCGCTTCGCTATTTTGGCGGATTCAGGTGGCCGCTTCCTCGTTTGCCACCTTATGTTATAAAAAAAAAATAATAAAAATAGTAACGATTTGTAATTTTATATGTATTGAAATAGCTAAAAAACTACTAGGCCGATTTTAAAATTCTATTATTTTTTACATAACGTAGACGATGTCGCGAGCAACAGTTAGTCAGATCATAAAATGACATAGCTGTAGCAAAACTATTTTGCAGATATACTAAACTGTATCAAAAAGATAATGGGCAATATTACCTGTGATGCGTTTTCCAACATACATTGGAAAGATAACAACGCACGATCGCAACCCTTTTCTCCATCAGTGACTGTTTCCCCGTTGACTGAAAATTAAAAAGTTAATTATTCTTATTTAAACAATAATAAATCATGTAAATCAGTTACTGCAGCATCAATATATGTAGCTTTGGGCTCCTTAAACACAGGTTGTTTAAGAGGCCAATGTCTGCCATTTCAAGGACATATTTTAAAAATAATAGTATCAAAGCCATTTGAATAAAATGTATCTAATAAAATTGTTACTTATATAACTAATATAAAATATAAATAGGTTTTTTCCCTTGCGTAATCTATACTAATATTTAAAAGAGGAAAGATTTCTATTTTTGTTTTTTTGTACGTATTGAAATAACTCTAAAACTACTTAGCCGATTTTAAAAATTCATCACCGTTACAAAGATAATTTATCTATGAGTAACATAGGCTATATTTTATAATTCTACGCGGACGAAGTCGCGAGCAACAGCTAGTGTTTTCATAAATGCTAAAAAATGTCACTTACTATGTGAACACGAGTGAAGATAACCCTCGATAAGTTTTAACTCCTCGGCGTCATTAAAAACTTTCTTGGCGTATTCAAGCGCCGTTTCCTTCTGCAGCATGCCTTTGTCGTCCATCTGAAATTTTAATTAAGAAATCTTTAAGATAAGTTCGTTTTATAAATCGATAAACTAACTATTAATTCCATGTCAATCGAATTCACGTTCGTTTGTTTTGTTTCTGTCATTTGTTTTTGTTATTTTGTTAAATTAAAATTAATTAATTTATAGTAGTTAGAATTTACACGCAAAATACGCGCTAGTCGTAGAGTTCTGGAAACCCTAGCCTACTACTACTATTACTAGCTACTACTAGTAGAAGTTTCATCTCGTTGTCTGATTTTCCTTATTTCTAGTATGCAAATATACTTACAATTCCGACTTTTTTTAATAAACATGATAAGAAGCAAGGTACATTTTCACCGGTACCAATTTTCTTAGCTCTCAAATTATTAACATCTTCTTCGGTAATAGGATAATCCTTCATACATTCAGTTCCCAATTCTTCGAAATGTTCATGAATTGCGGCTTTTTGTTCCGCCGTCATTGCCTGAAACGTAGAATTATTAAATTGCATATATTTTAGTGCTTCAGACATACAAGGAGGTTTTTTGGAAGTGAAGCCTCTAGTTTTCACTTTCAGTCAACATGTTAAACTCTGCTAAATCTATACTGTTAAGTAGAAAATTAGTATCGTACCATAGTAGCAGTGCAACACTGAATCACGGACATATACGTCATGCCCCCTTTGACAGATGTCATTATTCACAAAAAAGTTCGAACATAGAAGCGCGCCTTTTTGTTCCGTGTGCGATTACAATTATTACTTAAAAATATATATAATAAAATTGGAGCGTCTATTGGTAAAATCCAAGGAAAAGTTCCAGATCCAGGGTTCCATTCCAGGATCCAGGGAAGATTTGCGTTGTTGATAACAAAAATCGCCTTTTAATTTTTTTGTTTGGCTGCCTATTTCTCAGTATACGAAACGGCTGGGCCGATTTCGACCGGACTTTCACTGAAGGGTAGCTGACATAGACGGGCATATTATACGTTACTTTTTTATGTTAATATTGCGTTAACAGCTAGTATGTGCATACAGCGCAATGAAACATACTGTATTTTAATTGTACAGTACTACTGAGTTAAAATGTTGCCTACACAAACATAGTGTTAACTGAATAGTTATACTGTCATGTTTGTGGACAAACGTAACTTATACAGTACAATATACGATACCCGGGAATGTCTTTAAACAAAAGAGGTGATAGAAACAAATAAAAAGGCCAAAGAAAGTAAGCAAGAAAACTATAGGAATGAGAAGTAGACTTCACGAAATCTCAGAAAGTATTGTCGTATTCCTAATTTAAAAAGAAGAATTAAAAAGCCTAGAAAAATAGGCAGAGGACGGTTTAATATAACACAGGGTGTTTGAAATATATATTTGATTTAACTTACATGAGACTTAAACGGCATCAAAGCAATCAAGCAGAGGTTTACATAGAGATATAATTTGTACATTGTGAATATACTTTGGAACTGATAGTAAGATACACTTAGACCTACTGAAATAGACAGATGTCGAAAATTCAAAATTACCCAGTTTTATACATGTAACAACAATGGAAGGACGAAATATTCGATCAGTCATCATTTTTGATGAAATAGTAGATTTGGAAACTGACATTGAAATTAATTGGATAAAATTAATAGGTTGCTTTTTGAACAAATTTAGAAAATTACATGATAACCTAGAAAAAATGATTTTTAGTTAAAAACGGCTAGTCACCCGCAATTGCGACCGCGTGGAATTAAAAAAAAAGTTTGTTAGTAGGCTCTTCCAGGTTATTTTTTATATCTACGCCAAATTTCAGAGATCCGTTGAGATGTTCTAAAGAGTTGCAAACATTCATCCATATAATCATTTGCATTTATAATAATAGTAAGATCTACGAGCTTTTTCTTCATCTAGCAAGTATTTATAGTTAAAGTTTTTTTTCCGAAGTACTTTAAAAAACCATCTCTAAATAGTGAAGAGGTTTACACTAAACATGAAGTGCTGACCACTTGAAAATAAAATTCCAATTTATCGCATTAAAATTATGACAAACCCTTCATTGAAATGTCACTATCGATGTTATCACAAACAATAACTTGTATTCATTGTTGTTCTGATTTATACAAAAAGATAATATTGTATAAATTACTGGCGTTGACACATCATGAGTATATATTGGGATAATAATTTCACACGTTTTCACTTGGCTTGTTGATCGAAACAGTGAAGCCATGGCGCGGTTTATATTTCAAGCCTTTTACTCCTCTATTATTGTTACAATTGTATTGGTATGTAAAACTTTAAAATACTTACTAAATGATTAATAATCCAATATTTTATTATATCTAAAGTCGATTTTGTGATAGCTTTTATACAAATTAAGCCGCTTAGTTAAAATAATAGCAATAAAATTTTCCCTGTTATTGAGTTTCCATAGCTGAAACACGTACAAAAACATTTGTTCTTCCTCACATTCCATTTGAAGTAATTGAAGTTTGAAGTCTACGGTTGTACTTTTTACACTACGGTTAAGTTTCCACGTAAATATTCATTGTAAATTTTCTTTTGCTTTCCAGGGCAGTTCATTAAGTGACTTGCAAAGAAATTACGCAGATTTGGTAATAGAATGTGCGAAAGACTTTCCAATAACTCCCGAAGACATTGTTCAGTTACAGAACAAGCAACTACCAGAGAAGGAGCCGGTCAAATGCTTGTTTGCTTGCGCTTACAAGAAAGCTGGAATGGTAATAAAAATTAAATTTATCTAGCACTGAAAAATGTCCTTTTTCACTCTCACTTTATGATTTGTCGACAGTTTACAATATGCAAATAGCCCTTTTTTACTACATTGCCAAACACAACCTTGCAAAATTAAGTTAGAATTAATCAAATTATAACTTACTTGAAATACTGCACTAATTCAGACTTAGATAAGAAATGTGTCAATAAAGTTTTAATAATTTTAATTTATATTCAGAGCATATAATATAAATAAACCTTAATATATTACAAATTATTAAAAGAAAGTTTAGTTTCTTATTAACAAAAGCTAACTCGCCCACTGTTTGATGTTTTAGTTTAATTTATTTTTTGAAAAAACAATTTTGTAAATTTCGCAAAAATGCTATTTCCTACTTCACGTTCAAATAACTTAAAGTTTTATACGTGAAAATATTAACTGTAATTATTTTTACATGTCATAATTGTAATGAATGTTGTAAACATAGATTTCTGAAATAGATTAGGAAATAGTTACAACATAATAGACATAGCAAGCGCAAGGTCAGTTTTGATGAGACAAACAATTACACGGTTTATGGTTCTGACAATGAGTGTACAGCAATTTGTCTCGAAAACAGGAAACATATTTTGGAAATATACATAAATAATACGTATTTGGACATCTTTGACATATTTTAACATAACTTTCCATTTTTATAGGTATAGTTTGTAGCAAGGTAAAGTTTTTTCAAATAAAATACACGTGCTATTTGTAATTTGCTCCGTTTTTCTACAAAGTTAAAAAAATATATCACAGACACCATAATATCCGAGGGTCTATCACGTTTCAATCTTCATCATCACAATTCAATCAAGTTTCTTGACAATTGCGAGAACATATTTGTAAGGTGTTTGACAGAATTTGTATGATACTTATTAATGTACTGAACGTTACGTAAAACTTTCTCACCAATATTCGTTATAAGCTCTACGTCTCACCTACAAAGGTACTCTTTTCCAAAAGGGTATTTTCAATAATAACTTCAATTAAATAGGATTAAAGCTATAATCCTCAAAGTTCTGTGACATAATTCGTTTAGACATTAAAATAAAAGTCAAAATAACATTATTTATAAATTTTAATATCAATAGACATAGGTCTACGGGATGGTTGAATTGCATAAAGGTGGACTCATGTCCAAATAACTGGGGTGTTACGCCTGAAATGATGAATTATTGTTCAACTATGTAATTAATAGAATGAAACCCAAGTCGATCACAAATATAGCGTGACATAGTTGAGGAAAGAGTGATGAGGTTAATATTGTACATGTGAATTAAAATTTCGCAGATGGATGACGAAGGCAAAATGTCTGTGGAAGGGGCACAGGAAGTTATTAAAAAATATTTATCTGACGACCCTGACACTATGAAGAAAGCAATCGATTTTACTAACGCTTGCAGTTATGGTAATAATCTTTTATTCTTTAAATGTAGGATTTTATCTCCCTATTACTCCCGTTGCTGGCACAAAATAAGTTTTGTTGTAAGCTTATTTATCTATATTACTATCTCTAATGTTGATGTAAAATTTTACAATAATCAAGAATTCCAATTTATAAGCCAGTTGGGTCGTTTTTTTTTTTTATAACATAAGGTGGCAAACGAGCAAGCGGGCACCTCAATCCGCCAAAATGGCGAAGCGACCGCTGCCCATAGACATCCGCAATTGCAGATGCGTTGCCTACCCTTATCCGACGGAGGAGGAGACGCACATAAAGAGGATATTTCCCCTTCCTATGCATATCCTCCACCGTCAAATCCACTTCCTCTTCCCATCCTCTTCTTGTGAGAAAAGGGTGGTAAAGAGAAAGGGACTAAAATTAGGCCTCCGGCACCAAACTCATCAGACGAAACACGGAATTGCTTCCATTTGACGCCTGTCTTCTGTGTGGTCGTGGTATTACACCGGGCGTGCCGGCCCATTCGTGCTAAGGTGTTAAAGCGGGCACTACCACTGTTATTTTATTTTTCATTATCATTCCTTACGAATACCTAGGTAATTAATATCTTATCTATACTAATATTATAAAGAGGAAAGAAGTATTTTGGTATTTTTATGTATTAAAATAACTCAAAAACTACTGGGCCGATTTCAAAAATTCTTTCACCATTAAAAAAGCAATATATCTGCAAGTAACATAGGCTATATGTTTTAATTTTACGTGGACGAAGTCACGAGCAACAGCTAGTTATGTATAATTTTAGTGAATGAAGCAGAGGTCAGCGATGGAACTAAAGGCTGTGATAGAGCGGCGTTGATGTTCCGTTGCAGCGTTGATAAAGCCGATGAGGTTTGTATACAGAGATTTTTTCAACAGAATATCGTGAAAATTAACAAACACCTTTTAGTACAGATCCCATTTCGGTATTATCCAAAATTTATCATCTAAGGGTTTTACCATAAGAAAGTTTACTTGTTCGGCAAAATAAATACTTTTCCATTTTTTTTTTATAATAATCGTAGTTGTTAACTAATTTAAGATGAAATATGTTTTCAGTTCGACATTAATCTTTGACAGAAGAAACGAAGACTTCAGACGTAGTCTAATAAGCAAAATTATTATAATATGCTTAGTATATTGTACTTTTATTTTTATTTGTAAATAAATAAATTAAACATAACTAATATATTTTATTTTTATGTTACCTGTATTATTTCGGATTTAACAGACGTCAGTAAAATATTACAAAATAAAAATCTAGTAGGGTTAATTATTTTCACTATTGTTAACTAAATTCTACACGGTTCGAAAATAATGATTGCTACTATATTCGTGATTAAAAAAATAAAACGATAATTTGTTTTTATTCGCTTATTATCGTATGAAACAGTGCGTAACTTATGAAATACATGGCTATTATTGTTTGCAATTGTAACCGTCATTTAATATATTAAATGCAATTATGTTAATACTAATGTGACGCACACAGGACCATGCAAAAAGATTAATATCATTGATATTTTTACGACCAAGTTATTATACAATGTGTGACAGACCGTGATAGTTGACTTAAAAATTAAATTAAAAAAAAACACCGGCTATTTTCAGGCTGTTAACCATTTCTTAATAAAATATATAATTAAGAATATTTATAATAAATTAATCCCGGTGTTATATCGATTTAATTTAATTAAAAATGATAAATTCAAGTTTATTGTGTATAATACTGCTATGCTTTTTTAATTTTGTTAATGTAAGTACAGTGTTAACATTATTTTCATAAGGAAATTGTTATTACTAGCTTTCATCCGCGTCTCCGTCCGCGTGGAATTATATAAAAACAAAAGTACGTAGCCTATGTGTTCTTCCAGACTGTCCTCTATAACTATGCCGAATTACATCGAGAGCCGGTCAGCCGTTTAGGCTACAAACTCTAACAAACATCCATCCATCTAAACTTTCGCATTTATAATGTTAGTTACAGATTACATAATACCAAAAACCTAAACCAAATTTTATTTATATCAAAGGTTTTAAAAATAATTATTAATAACCTATTTATACTTTAAAACTTAGTAATCGAATCTTTCCACATGAAACGGTCTTATTTTTAGGGTCTAACTGACGCGGAAGCAAAAGCTGAGTTCACTAAAACAGTATTGCGATGCACAAAAGAGTATCCAGTTGACATGATGGAACTGCTACAATTGCAGGCTTTAAAAGTACCCAAAAAACAACAGACAAAATGCCTGCTCGCTTGTGCGTATAAGAAAATTAAAACTGTAAGTACAACTAGGATAGTATTGTTCTGTGGTTCAACATACCTTTTCACGCTAATCCAAGTCAAATAGCGTCACATTTTACGATTAATAAAGGTAACTACTATTTGAAAGAAAAACCATTTAAAGGATTCGCGACATTAGTCCCACATGGAGGAATTAAATACTTGATGTTGCAGTGTCAAATTATTAAAAAAGTACCCTCATTTTCAATTGAAAGAAAAAATGTTGTAAAATAATAATTTTGTAGTCTTGCCATTGTATTAATTTTAGTTCAACGAAAAAGGAATGTACGATCTTGATGAAGGTTACAAGGTCGCAGAATTAACTAAAAACGGTGATGAACAAAGATTAAAGAATGGCCGAAAGTTGGCTGAAATGTGCAATATTGGTATGATATATAATTTTATTTTTTATTTACTTTATTCAATAAAATAATTGTTCAATAATTATGATATGCACATATAACACTAAAATGTTATTAAGGAACTATATCTCCGTTCCTCTTAAAAAAATGTTATTTTGAATACCAATTAGAAAAAAATAATAAAAAAATATAATTTGTTCTAATTTTCCTGATTTTTACCAGTTAACGATATGGAAGTAACTGATGGTGACAAGGGTTGTGACCGAGCCGCATTTTTCTTTAAATGCTTTACAGAAAACGGACAAAAGGTAATTGAACAATTTTTTCCTGTTATCTTCAGTTTTAAGTGCATAAAAAATGTATTGCAACTGTGATGACAAACTTGTTGTGCCACCTGAGTCTAATGAGTGATTCAGAAAGCTTTTACAATTACCACTTTTGTAGCTCTTTTAACCGACTTTTATAGTATCTAGTGTGTATAGATGACCCGCCTAGTTATAAAAATATATCTTTATTTTATTTCAGCTGGGATTCAAAATGTAGCCGAACGACTAAACAAAGTGATGCTCCTACTGTTTTTGCACGATTAAAAAACCCTAACCTTCATTTCTTTTTTATCAACTTTACTTTAAAATAGCATATATACATAAGCCTCTAGTTTTTCTTAAAGTTAAATTGTTTTTTTTTAATAAAAATAGACAATTTTCAGTAGTGCATTTTTGCTATTAAAAAAATAATTTTCCATAAATAATAATAGCGACATCTATTGATCACACTTGTGCAATAACGCATAAATGTATGAAGGCTAACTTATAGTTGTAAGCTTTTGGCACTAGATGCCACTGTTTTAAAACATGGTTTGAATAAAAACTGTCATTGTCATGAAATGAAATTTACAGCTTTTCAGTGTCAACTATTTCGATTGTATGAATAATGAAAATAATGCTAATATGTTGTGTAACAAAACATATCATAAACTGCCGAAAGAAATGTATCGTACAGTATAGTAAATAGTCGTGAAAAAATTTAAAAAATGTTGTAAAATTATATTTTGAAAATGTAACAAAACTACTTAAGTTAGTTTTTTAAACTCCACGGAATGGAAGCAAGACGAATGTTGATAGTTTATCACTGACTAGAATTCGGTGCACATATGCATAATAACAAAAAGATTACTGACACGGTTACACACACAAAGACAGCATCGGAGCAAGTTTTTAAACACCCTGCTCCGGCGCAAGAGTTTACGCACACATGGAAAGGTCAATAGGTAACCATTAACCAACTTCATTCAAAGCGGCCTCAGCCGGCCGCACGGCGATGTGTCTTCGTTCCAACTTCACTCCTTTTGTAAACAGCCGTTCGATCGCCGAATGTACTCTTTGGTGACGTATTGTACAAAACAATTCGCGGTTTACGGTTTGTTTTGTCAATATTAAGCATTCAATTGTTTGTTTGAAACAAAATAAACACGTGTTGTGTCGTTCAGTATGATTTGTTGCGTGTTGTGATCGGAAAGTGCAGATGTCGATGTAAAAAGTTTTAAGTGAAAATTTGGTTATGATTTTAGTGAGTTTTGTGGCAAAGGAGACTTTTCAACGTTCAATAAATTTGTGGTAAGTTTTACTGGAACATAAAACTATATAAAGTAATTATTACTTAGCTATAACTCAGATAAAAGATTGGTAGACGTCCGGTAGTTTAAAATAAATAAAATTGTATCTTGAGGATGTTATAAAAATATATTTATTTAACACTCTTCTAAGAACAAAAATGTCTTCTATAAAAGATTTTTATTTTTTAGGTCTTTGAAGCGGTATTGGAATGTACTCCAATTCCTTTAATTTACTTTTAAAACCTAAATCGACTGCGATCGTTGACGCCTTTTTCATGGGGGAGACATTTCCAAATCTTTCTTTACTATTTTTCTGAATTCTATTGAATACCGGTAATTTACTCAATTCAAGTTTATTGTTCTGGTCTTCTGATCGTTGAGGTGTCTGTGGTTTCGTTGACCATTCACTGACGTCTAGATCTGGGCCGGTTATTTCTTCAGTGTCGCGTTTCTTTCGACCAGAAACAACACCCAGTTGGAGTAGAACTGGGTTAGTAACTAGAGCCGCCGCTGCCCCAAGAAGTGCAATCCCAGCTATTGGCCATAACAGTGTTTTTGCTGCCAGATCCTAGAAAAATACATAGATACGGTCTGATTATTTTGTTATCCTTTTGGGAAGAATCTTTGAAAGGAAAAGTGTGCCTTAGGGTTATTTTTGTTAATATCATTTCATTCAAGGTCATTAACCTCAGATATAACGAATAAATAGTCATTTCTCTCAATGAATAACATTTCGTTAAATAATTAAGAGATTGAAAAGTACTAAGTAACAACCCTGATATAGGAAATGGCTACCTATTTTGCTGTTTATGCGTGAGAATTACGAACATGTAATTGCGGGTGTTAGGCAAGGTGTGGTAATACAGTTAAAGGAAATAACTAATAAGCAAGTCTTACATCAATTACCAACAGTAAACATCATTCAATTTGATCATCGATTGCAATGGTCGTTTGTCCCTTCTCTAATAAAAAAGTTCTGCGTACTTCCTTAGTTAACACCATTTGAACTAAGAATTGATGAAATGATGCTTACATGATCATGATGTTTGTAATGATGTCCAATGTGGTGATGACCATGAGGATGATGGTCATAGTAATCGGGATGATAGTTCCCGTGATCACCGTGGCCATGGATGGGGCCAGGGTGATGAAATCCATGATGACCGGCGGTGTCTTGAATGTGGTATTCATAGACTTGATGTGGACTGTCTTCGTAATCATGCACACCGTAATCTTTAAAAGTAGAAAAATTGGTTATTGTAGACGATACGAAGTTGTCGCTTGGGGTTACTGCTGCACTCGAAGTCATTACCACGTTATGACCACTCTGAGAGTGACTGAGAGAAGCGCTCAGTGTTTAATAATTATGAAAAATGCTTTATAAAATCTAATGTTCATTATCAAGACTATTGCAGACAATATTACTAAGAGTTTTTTACTTGATTATGCATCCAAAACGTATGAGTCAGAAATATGACCCCAAAAAGTGTATTAGCGTCAATTTTTATTGTTGACACAGATCGGAACAACGTTTACTTCTGCAATATGGGGGAAAATACGTATGATACATTTGTAATCGTACGTCGTTTATTTTTTAAATTTCACTTTGTTTTTATTACATCTTTAGTTTTCAATGAACTCACCCGCGTGATGCAAAAGACCTCGACTATGGCTGGAACTTGAGAGCTCATTGTCAGCTATTGTCTGAAATAAAACACATATTAAGTAACAAAATAGAATAAATCGATCTGGAACCATCTTGTCTCAAGATGGTCTTATATAAATTTGCTTCTAATCCAAACCATGTAAAATTCATAATTACAATTGAAAAACATGATTCATTTAGATGTACATTAATCCATTTTTGCTCTGTCTTCCACAAAACTGAAGTAGCCTGGGCTTTGATAATTAGTAATTGTTAACGGTAACTCATTAGAAACTCCAACGATAAGATTCCATTAAGAATCTCGCTGTTAAGACGTGATTATAAGAAAATTGGAAGTTTTTAAATAAATTCTAACACTTGAATCTAATCTGAAAGAGGGTGGAGGAGTAATTAATGATAGGAATTAGTATTCAATTTGGACGGAGATTTTTCTTTCGATATAATTACGACCAATTAGAGCGTCGTCTTTCGGGCACGCCTCGATGCCTTCACACGGTCGTTCGGAAACTTCTCACGATCTTTCTATCTGTAAATGTTACTATAGTAACGGCATAGTTAGATATCAATGTTATGCTTATTTAACATACAAAGTATGGTATTTCGTTTTTTCATAAGTGCTTCATTTTTGGATGTAGCTTGAAGCAGTATTAAGCAGCTAGAGGTCAAGTAGGTATTCAGTTGATGAGTGAAGAAGGTGAACGAGAAGAAGGAACCCAGTATCGACGCCCAAACTTAGATTCATATCCATTCTCCTCTATATCTTTCAAGACTATAAAAGCGATGACAAGATAATTTTAAACCAGTGTTTTAATAGTGGAAACCCAAATAAAGACGTGCATTCGAGGTGTCTATTTCAGTTATCGAGTTAAGTAAAAAGTAGTTTCGAATGTTGATGTACATAGTAAAGAATTGAAACATCAAGGATGGGTTTGTTTAAGAAATAGCCGATAGTTGGATTAAATAGAAAACGCGTGAGTCACACGCAAAGTATCTGTTCTCTTTGAAGGCATTATTCATTATTACTGGGAAACAATCTGATTTCTGAGTAACAGTGGGCAGGTTGAGGCCGACGGTTATGGGAGATTGTTCCGAGTTATGCAGTTAAGCCCTAGTTTCATACAAATATGTTATTATTGAACCATTGTCGTTATATTTGATTGTTGTTACAGGGACATAGATGTTATAGAGGATATGCCTAATCTCCTTGTATTTAATGAAAATAAATGCATTGTATAAAATGAGGTATTTTTTTTATAACATAAGATGGCAAACGAGCAAGCGGCCACCTGAATTCGCCAAAATGGCGAAGCAACCGCTGCCCATAGACATGTGCAGCTGCAGATGCGTTGCCCACCCTTATCCGACAGGGGAGGAGACCCACATAAAGAGGATATCTCCCCTTCCTATGTATCTCCTCCGCCAAATCCACTTCCCTTCCCATCCTCTCCTTATAAGAAAAGGGCGGTAAAGAGAAAGGGACTTAAATTAGGCCTCCGTATTTCGTATTATTCCATTACATCTTGCTCCTTTTAACTTCATGAGACCATTTTGTTTTCTTATAATTTTAATAGTTTAAATTTAGACTATCTTACAATCCGTGCTTGCTATGATTATATATAATAATTGATCGGTAAAGAAACTTTAGTTTATTGTAAACATAAGGAAAAAATAATGAACCCAAGATGCAAAGTTACCAGTATAGGTTATTTTGATGCCTTATAATGTTATTTGTATTGTACCAAGAAAAGATAAAACAAATAAAGCTACCTAATTATGCCACCAAACATTACTCGCAATTTTATAGGCGATGTTTAAAAAATACGCAGTTTAATGTATCGGTTGTCGGTTGACTCACATTTCCGCTACAACGAGTTTTATCAGGAATGTGGGGCATTCGAGTGATATTCCCACCACCAGCTTGTGTTTCTACATTTCAAATACTTCGAACCGTAACGTGTAGAATTTGCTATCGCTTTTAAATTGACCATATAAAGCCTACGCCTTATAACTAGTTATATTACAAACTTCCTTTTGATAGATGTTTAACGTTTATGTAATTTATTTATTCAAATTATTAAGCTATTAAGCAATCATATACTTAGAAATATGACCCAAATTTTGACATTATTTTCTGTACCCTGGAACACAGTGGGAATAATTGATATTGTTACGAACAATAAAAAGATGTGTGTTTCAGAAAACCATCGAAACATAATTGACTTAAGAAAAGATGTTTGTTATTAGATATCATTCTGAATATCTGTACTATTATAATAAAGCGTAAACACATACTTCTTTGTTGCCTAAGATGTCAGCAATCACAGCATATTTTGAATAACTCTTTTCTTTTAATAAAAAGCCCTACACTTGAGGCTATATATTTTCACGCCATTAAACTTAGGGGGTATATATTTTGGATAAAAATCCTAATGTTGGAAAGAGATCATAAGTTGCTGCCAATATCAAGGAAGCAATTGTCATTTGTGCATTTGAATTTTGAAACAGCCGCACTGGAACATCTAGTCTTATATAGAATTAGAAAACAATAAAGTCTTGGTCTAAACTGTGGTCTTCTGTGGGATAAAAAATGTTTAAAACGTACTCCTTATTTTGTCGTTGCAGATGTCCATAGTCGTCGGAATAAATAACATTAGGCGACCCGCTACTCGTTTGCACTCTTCTACTATAAAAGTTTAATTTTAACTTAGTTGTTTTTAGCATCTTGTTTTAAGCCGGTAATGTACCGGTCAGTAGCGGCTACCGAGCGGCATACTAAATAGTCATAACAGGATTAAATCTTGCGAGATACATTTCGGCATACAAATCGCGTCCGCCTTGTTTATTTCGTAAGGATGTTTGGCGCGTTTACGAAATATGTTTTTACTTTTTGCGAATGAACTCGTAAATTATGTTTCCCGTAATTCGAAACGATGTAATAGCATTTGTATGATATTAAATTTAAAATAAATCGCATTATAATACATAAATTAATTTTTCTTAGGAAGAATTTTATAAAAAAACCATTACCTTAAATGTCGCCGGATTGGGTATCGGAGTGAAATGACTGTATTGATCTTTTCCCTGTTTCATTAATGTTGTTACATTTGTGGTATTCTGAAAGACAAAAGATGACTTAGAAAATATAAAAATGTCCTTGTATCCTTTTGCTTTAAACATACAATTGTTGTAATTATTCCGATGACAGCCACCGTCGATAATTTTTGTTAGTTTAATATGTATTCATTGTATTTTAAACTAGCTATTCCCATGGGACTTCATCTTCATAAAATTATAAAAATTTCATTTTATTGTTTGTCGAATTGTCAAAATGACATGACATGATGTCAAACCATGGCAACCTTGATTCCTTGATGTTGGCAGCAACTTATGGTCTCTTTCCCACATTAGGGTTTTTATCCAAAATATTTACCCCTAAGTGTAATGGCGTGAAAATAGATAGCCTAAAGTGTAACGGAAGTATAAAGCTGTTTATTAAAGGAAGTGTTATTCAAAAATGTTCTGTAATTGCTGCTATCTTAGGCAACAAACAAGTGTATGTTTACGCTTTATTATATTAAATAGTATAGAAGACTAGAGGGTAAGTCATCTTAATCCTTTGTTGTTTTAAAATGTAACGTATTCTAGTACACACGAAACACTTACAGTATTTTCTTTAACTGAATATTTCCTGATATGGTCGTTGAAATTTGTGTTTGTAATAGCACTGCATACTCGTTGCGTATCGAGCAAGATAATTAAAAAAACAAAAAAGTATCTAATGCAACGTACTGGCCACATGTCACAGATTAGGAACGTCATAGATAAACAAGAATGAGAACAGTCTCTCGCGTCACATTAAAGCTATTTGTACCGTTACAGGCCTATATAAAAAGTGCACTGAATAGAGGGGCGGTTTGGATGACAATTTGATAGGTAAAACAATAGTCCAAGATTCAGTCACAGCCTGTTGAGCTTGTTGCGAAGCTGTTTCATTGTTCGTATTTTTAATGACAGCCATGTTGGCCGCCATGTTGCCTGATTGTTGCACGCTGGATGCGCTTTGCTCGATTCTTACTAAATTACACCTATTTTAGTTTCCTTTTCGTGTAGTGATATTTGATATCAACTAACTCGAATTCTTAACTATACATGCGTATTGCATGCGATCTATGCCTTTAATTTAAATGTACAAAGATATACATATAACTTCTTTTAAGGTCAAGGAATTTTCTGTATGTTCTTTGAATTTTGTTGTTTTGTGTTGTGTTGCAGATGTTTTAACCATATTTATCTGCGGTATTAGACGTACTATGAGTTAAAAAATATTTAATAACAGAGGGTTACATTTATGTTTTAATGTATGATGGCATCGATTATGAATCAAGAATGTCGTAAAAACCATGTGCATGTGCAGACTGGTCGCATAGAAAGCCGCGCGTTTCCGCACTGCATAATGCGTTTTCTTCAAGCGTTAGCGTGAGTTAATTATGTTTTGTTGCTATAACGGTTCTAATGTAATAACAATAAGGCATTAATTTGCTTGCAAATTAACATCAGTTAAACCCCATTGTGGTAAAAGTGGAGTATCAGTTCTACGATGGCCTACAAGGAACAAATGATAGTTTTTCATTGTTGCTAATTAATTTCGGGGTTTACATTTTGACCTGTTTGTGGAACATTAAATCGTAAGCATTACAATAAACTATACCATTATTATAAAAAGGAAAGAAGTATTTTTGTATGTATTAAAAATAACTCAAAAACTACTGGGCTGATTTCAAAAAATCTTTCACCATTATTTTTTAATTTAAAGCGGATGAAGTTGCGACCAACAGCTACATTTATATGACTATAATTCGTGGACTATCTTATACCGTTTTATAACTTCAAAATTAGGTACGTATTTCAAATACATGAATGTGTGCAAAGAAATGAACAGTACCAATTTTTACACAAATTCTCTAAAGTATCTCTTTGTGTTCTTCATTCAAAATTTTTGTTAAAGACGCAGTTAAATAATCGTTCTATTGATTTTATGGATTCAATCAGCCCAATTGGAAACTTCCATCATATTTCTGATCTGTCTACGATATTTCTATATCCAAATGTCATTTACCTTTAATAAGGAAAATTGTAAATAATAAACATTGTATTTTAATGTGGTAAATGCAACTGCACGATTACGCGTCCTGGTGTTACGGACGTCTTTACGCTTCGATGCAAGGGTCACTGACTGTTACTCATGTGTACAATCAGAGAATCTGGCGGTGCTCCACATTAAAGGCTACAACCGTTTGAACATTTCGTAACGAGACGAGGAACAAAACTTCAACGCAGCTTATAAATGTGTCTGTTCGAAAAAAGTCGGTGTATACACGGCTAGTTTCTTTTTATTATCCCTTCATTTGCTTCACTCACTGTTATCTAATTAGTTATTTGTAGGAATAAACGGAGTCTATTTCGTTGCAATGAACGAGGGAATTTTTTCCAAAAGTGAAACACCGCGGATTACCGCGATTGTACGTGTAGTTTTAACTTAAAGCGACCAGTATCGTGGCCGAGGAACGAGAAAGACACGTTTGTTTAAAGCTTTTTCGTCACCATAATGATTGCTTATTATGGGAACGAGATGCGTTTTTTACGCGGGTATCTTCACATGATATTGCAGTGAGTAAAAACCATAGAATCTTGAGAAACTAGTTTTAATATTAAATTACAAGTATTGATTGTTTAAATATTATCTTCGAAGAAATAGGTAATTTGAATGTTGATTATCTTTTGTTTTAATCTGTTATTTATTCGCTCTTTTGTTTTGTTTACGGTTGAGCATTTCATACTTCAAACTGTGCAAAAAAACCGACCAGAGAGGTTTGTTCAATCATTCATCCTTAATAAAAGATACAGCTATGCTTGCTATGCTATTACATAGCAATTTGCAATATAATTTATAAAGTGCTCTTGCTACGGTTGTATACCGCTCCTCTCTAGAAGCGTAAAATTCGCGTGTGCGGAACTCGTTTTTTTTTTTATAAAGAATAAATCTAAATGGGCCAGCAATTTGGCGCGTCGAGCGCAGCCCGCTTTTATTAGTTTAAATTATTTATTTCACCGCAACCAGATTTACGATAGACATCGCGATATATCAAGAGCCCGCCAATAAAATTCTCTTGAACAAGGATCTAGTACTGGACAAGAAGTGACTTCACCTTATATAGAAAAATATTAATTTCATCTAATCTTAAACAAAAATATCAGAACTAGTTTCCATAGTCAATTTTAGCGTCGAATTATGTCGGTTTTCTTTGTCGAATACACCGCTTTGTATTAAGTTTATGTATTAAGTAAATAAATAAATAAATAAATCATTAACAATGTATTATAGTAATGTAACAAAGGATTATAGTAATCCCGAAATATCTGGAACTCTGTAGCAATAATTTACTCAGCGATTTGTAGAGTCCAAGGCCAACGGCCATTCAAGTGTCAACGTTCAAGAAACTATTTAGACGGTGCGATAGTAAACTTATATCAGAGTACATTACAATTACCAGCCAAATGGCTGCAGTAATTATGGTGTATCTAAGAAGCATGTAACTAACGACACGTTGGCGCCATAGTGCAGATAAATATTTTTAGTTTTATACGACAGAAATATTTAAAACTTGTGATTAAAGTTTGTCTAAAAGTCTTTATAGTAGTTGGAATACCCAATTTTTAATAGTAAAAAATAAACAATGTGTCGCATCTAGAGATATAAAGTCTTTGTAACTTTTGGTATTTTTACACTTCGCCCTACAGACAACGCGGGAACCCCCCTTTTTATTTTACGATCTGAATTCTTCACAAAATCCATAGGTGGAAAAAGTACACGATGGTATTTCAATGGGTGGCCCGTGAGTAGAAAAGCAGGAATTTATGTAGAGGTAGCTCGAAACAGACGCAAACGAGTAATGGCTAAGGTAATTTTTTATGGTTTTTTGTAGAAAAATTGGAACGTAATATAGTCCATATTAATCATGATGTATCAACCAAAATCGTTGCTTAAATATTCCTTTGTCAATATTGAACATGGTATCTTCAATAATTAGACACTAGCTTTTGACCGCGACTCTGTCCACGTGAAATTAAACAAAAAAACAAAAGCAAGTAGCCTATGTGTTCTTCCAGACTATGCTATCCATCTATGCCAAAATTCATCCATATCCGTTGAGCCGATCAGGCTATAAAATCTAACAAACATCCATCCATCCAATTTAAATTTCGCATTTATAATATTAGTATGAAGTAGTATGATTAGTATGATTGCTATCTTTGAAATTATGAAGCCAAACAGAAAACAAGACTTTATCTTATAATACGTAAACGTAGCTATATGTATCAAAGGTGAAATGCAAAAATATATACAAACGTGTATTTCTGGAGAAAATTCCCTAGAATTGGCAATGCATCGATCACTGTCTCAGCCACGTCAAGGCGCTAATCGAAGCAAGCTGGATGTGTCAAGGCAGATAGATCGCTTCTATCGACTACCGATTGAGATGTGATTAGTGCAATTTATATACCTACCTACACTTAAACCCGCTTCTCGCGAATGAGCGATGGCAAATGAATTTTCATAAAAAACATATTAATTTTAAAGCATGATGAAAAGAGGATAGTAATTGAACCATAGTGTTTAAAATAGTGAATTTAAGCGAATTTTTTTGATGATATTTAAAACATTGTGGACAATAGTTTCCGCGCGCACACCTGAAACTAAACTATCGCACAACTGTGGTGTTGTCGTTTGTTTCGCAGCCAGGTCTACTGTTGGACAACTAAAAGATAGTGTAGTCTCAGGTGTGCACACGCTTTTAATAATATTTTGTCAATAAGATCTTGCTTGCACATCGAATCAATGTTGTGTTTACATTAGAAATTGTATACTTAATACGGATTCTTATTCAAGAAATTAATCTCACTCAAGATTTTTCGACGAGACGATTGCAGTACGTAATATCCAGATGAGTGAACGTTCTCTCCAATATGGATATGGGAGTATGAAAAATGTCGTAATACAAGGAAAGCTGCCGACATTAACGCATCTGAATATGTCGGGGGCGCGAATGTGTCGCAGACTGGGGCTTACTGCGGGGTGACTCAGACACTTATAAATATTTGGTGCAAGTGCTGAATGCCTGACGAAATTTTTATTGCCGACTTTGAGAGAAATTTCCAAGACAGCTGTGTCGAGTGTACTAATGTATGTTATTTGACGTGACTATTTATTGTAAAGATAAATTTGCCAATTAAACAGTTGCAGATTTTTTAGATGATTAGGGTAATTTATTAGTATTGCTTTTGTTATCTTTTAAAACCTATGTTAGATTATTGATAAACCTTACAAAAGATATTTAATTTTGAAATGTAAATAAATATGTAATCTAATTTTCAGAAAGTACGATTTCCTTAGAAAAGATTCAGCAAACAGTTTTCAAACGATCGCTTCGACAAATCCATTACCTTGTACAAACGAGTAAGGTGAACCCTCCGAAGAAGTCTTAAAAAATGACGCTCGTTAGTTGTCGAGGTATTGGCGTTAATAAAAAAGCCAACGTTACGGGGGCAAGGGGCTTGACAAACGGGCGGACACGTAATGAGGCAGGCCTGTATCACCTGTCGCCAGAGAATGAAACGCCCATCTGTGGATTGTTAGATACGCCAATTTGTTAGGATTTCCCAACGGCGAGGTAATTGTTTAGTTTCTTTTGTTGAGCAGATTGACTAATGCGAAGTCATAGAATATGTTTATTAATAGATTTACATTGTTAATAATTGTATTTTATTAAATACACTGTGTAAATCTAACGGCTAGTATAAAATATTCAGTGATTGAAACCATAAACTAACATAT